GTTGCTGTGTGCAGGCTTTCTCTAGTTGCGGTGAGCAGGGGCTGCTCTTCGTCACGGTGCCCGGGCACCATTGCAGTGGATTCTCTTGTCGTGGAGCATGGGCTCTAGGCACATGGGCTTCAGTAGTTGTGGCAGGCAGACTCAGTAGTTGTGGCTCATGGGCTCAGTAGTTGTGGCTTGTGGACTCTAGAGCGCAGGCTCAGTAGTTGCGGCGCACAGGCTTCGTTGCTCCGCGGCATGTGGGATCTTCCCGGACCAGGGATCGAACCCGTGTCCCCGGCATTGGCAGGCGGATTCTTAACCGCTGCGCCACCAGGGAAGTCCAAGATGAATCTATTCTGTGGCCAAATAACTTGTGTAAAATAGGGTAGGCACAGTTGTCTGTCTTAGACTAGTGTTTTTCATAGTCTGACTCTCCAGAATCACCTTGGGGGGAACTGTTAGAAAGCACGCATGTGTCATGGACTGAATGTTTGTGCCTCCACGCACTCACCCCCAAATTCACGTGTTGAAATTCGAACCTCCCCTGTGATGGTATTAGGAAGCGGGGCCTCCGAGAGTCCATTAGGCCATGAAGGTGGAACCCTCACGAATGGCACTAGAGCGCTAATAAAAGGGACCCCACAAAGATCCCTTGTTTCTTCTGCCATGTGGGATTATAGTGAAAAGACAACCATCTCTGAACCAGGAAGCAGGTCCTCGCCAGACGCCGAATCTTCCAGCGCCTTGATCTTGGACTTCCAACGTCCAGAACTGTCCGCTGTTTATAAGCCACCCGCTGTCTGTGGTATTTTGTTATAGCAGCTCAGACAGACTAAGACACCATTCCTGGACCTCGCCCCTGACCTACCCAATCAGAGTCTTAAAGCGAAGTTTGAGGACCAGAGGCACAGACTAAACCTTAATTAACTCCAGGGTTCCGAGGAAAACCACAATCCACGATCGAAACGACAGCACATCTGTCAGTCTTCAGAAACCTCCTTGTCAACATCCCCCATCAGTGAGCTGTCGTATTCGAAGCATCTGGAGAAGCAGCTTCGGGGTTGTCTAATTGAACATATCTTCCGAGCCTGAAATCCAGAGTCTTTATGCAACTGACTTTCGCTTCTCCTGGAAGAATACGTATGTATCCCTTACAGAAGGTGGTCGGAATGCAATGCTCTTTCAAACCATGCCATGTTCAGTCTGCCAGCTCCCGTGTTCTCTCTGCATGAGACGTTTGTTTCTCGTTGAGGGGCTCCCCCCTGCCCCGTGGCTTTCAGCTGACATGGTTATGAGAAGGATCCCACCAGGGGTCTAAATATCCATCCTGTAAAAGTGACACTGCTTCTCACGCCCTGCATCTGGCTGGTACCTCGGGGCGACAAGGCAGGTCAAAAGGATTTAGTGAGAAAAAAATTTTTAATTGAAATATAGTTGATGGACAATATTATATTAGTCTCAGGTGTACAGCATAGTGATTCAATATTTTTATACATTATACTCTATTTAAAATTACTGTAAAATATTGGCAGTATTTCCTGTGCTGTATAATGTATCCTTGTAACTTATTTTATACATAATAGTTTGTACCTGCTTGTACTTATACCCCTATCTTGCCCCTCCCTCCTCCCCTCTCCCCACTGGTAACCGCTACTTTGGTCTCTGTAGCCATAAGTCTCTTTCTGTTTTGTTATATTCATTCTTTTGTTCTATTTTTTAGATTCCACCTATAAGTGATAACATACAGTATTTGTCTCTCTCTCTCTGCCTGACGTACTTCTCAGTGAGTTTTCTCCACCAGCAGGGACTACTCAGTAAGGAAGAAAACTCTGAAAACAGTCAACTGCTAATTGAATAATTATGAAAACAAACCATGGTGTTTTACATGATTTTTTTTTTTTTTTTTTTTTTTGCGTTACGCGGGCCTCTCACTGTTGTGGCCTCTCCCGTTGCGGAGCACAGGCTCCGGACGTGCAGGCTCAGCGGCCATGGCTCACGGGCCGAGACGCTCCGCGGCATGTGGGATCTTCCCGGACCGGGGCACGAACCCTCGTCCCCTGCATCGGCAGGCGGACTCTGAACCACTGTGCCACCAGGGAAGGCCCGATTTTTTTTTTTTTTTTAACTTTATAAATCTGTAACTTAAGCCAGTGTTTGCATACCTGTGGTCCTGGGGTGGGTCTGGTCTGCACACACGTTTTGTTTAGTTTGCTGTTTACTTAAAATTTTGAATTAGTTGTTGGTATTTAGCATGGAGTGCTTTTACATAAATATGCCGAATTTCGACTTCTCTTGAAAAACACAGCAAACGTGGGAACAAGTGGAGGCCCCTACTCACTGCGGCCCTTCCCCGCCGGGAGCCGTTGGGCACTTGAGTTTCCAACTCTGATCTAGGGCAGTGCCTACATCTGTTTTTAAACTCTCTTAAGATGTGGAATCCCAATACTTGGTTTCTATTTTCTTTTGTTTTCGTGTGTGTACCCTTTAAGGCCTCATAACTTACCATCATGAGTAATTTTCCAGAATAGATCATTCAATCACGTGAATGATGAATCCTCCCCTCCCCCAGTCAAGACTTGGTGATCAGATCTGATGGGTGTCCTGGCGCGTCCTGCCGCTGACAGTGGTGTAAATCCTTTTGGGCTTTGGTTGGGATGATGATGAATTGGCATTCGTACTTGTTTCCTGGAAGTTTTGCTACAGCTCTTATGACATGGTCCTTTGGTCCACTGGATGAGTGTCTGGTCGCTGGTACGGGTGGTTGCTGGGCATCTCAGCCCAAGGGGTCATTCATCCTCCAGCAGGCTACCTCAGGCTCCTTTATGGGGTGGCCTCAGGCTCCAAGAGGGCGAGAGTGGGAGCTGTTAGACCTTTGGGAGCTTTGTTTGGAAGTCAAACTACATCACTTCTGACCTATTCTGTTGGTCAAAGCAAATTCCAGGGCCAGCCCAGATCCAGGAGATGGGGAAACAGACCTCCTTCCCCCTTTATTGGAGGAGTGGGTGAGCCCTATTTCGAAGAGACGTTCGTGCAAGGATGGGGGACTGCGGCCACCATCTTGCACACAGTAAATGACAGTCTGTGTCAACGGGCTTTTCTCATTGTCCGCATGCGTGTGTTCAGAGTACTGCCTTAGTTGTCGCGGAGGAGCTGTTTTAGCCCAGAAGAAAATAATCCCAGGGCCTCAGGGAGTGACTATTACAATTCAAGAGTGAGATTTTTCCTTCCTTCTCTTTCTTTTCTTTCAGCCACCCAGCCAGGGTTTTATGCCAACGGCCAAGATGTTTCCCACTCCTTACCCAACTCTCTCTTGCTTTAAGTCAGAGTTCTTTGTTCAGTCTTCCATGCAGAGAGGAAAAAAAAAAGAAAGTGCTCTTTATCACATCCTATTCCTAGAAGCTCTCGTTCAGGATTCCGTTATAAAGCGGTCATATATTCTATAGAAATCATAAGCAGGGGGTTGGGTTTTAGCCAAAGTGTCTGCATCAGATAAATCAAAGATATGACCAGCATCATAAAATAATGTACCGAAGCTATAAGCCTCTCGAATAATTTTAATAAGAACGTTGTTCTCCTATGAGATGGGAATAAATGTTACATTTTTATTATAAAAACAACACCAATTTACCATAAAGTGTATATATACTACATAAAAATATAATTCCACTCTATCGTAATTATTGCTTTTTATATTGCTAGCTGTAAAAATCATCCAACGTTTAATTAACAATAATTTTGAGAATACGTGGACGTTCCTTGTAAATGGCGCAAAGCACTGTGTATTAATCTTAGGCACTGTTGACTTATTGGAATTTACACGGGTTGGGGAATCACAATAATAACGATAGTTAAGTCTGGGCTAGGCGCTACCCTGAGTTCTTTGTATTAACTCATTGAATCCTGTCAACACGCTATAAAGCAGGTACTGTAATTATTCCTAATTTAAAGATGAAGAGACCGAGGCTCAGAGAGGTGACGAAACGCACCCAGCATCACTCCCGTGAAGGGTAGGGTGTGAATTTAAATGCAGGCCTCCTGGCTGGTGAGCCCTGCTTTGACTTATGTGCAAATATAATAAATAATGCGTGCTCCCCTCCTCGCTCTGAATACTCTTTAGCAATCAAATGAATTCTAGTTCTTTCCAATTATGAAGGGCTTTGATATTAGAAAGTGGCCACTTTTTCATTGCATCAGCGTCTGCAAGCGTCAATAAACATAGAGCAAAGCACAGTTCCTCCCTCTGAAGCAACAGAAGGAAAGTGTAGAAAATCCAGGCCGGTTAAATCCCCTCTCCCCTCCTTCACCCATGGAGTGAGTGAAGGAGCCTGGGAGTGGAGTCTGGGGAGTCTGGGGCAGGGCGGGGCTTACCCATCCAGTGCCCACTGCCCCTTTGGAGATGATCACTGTAGGGTTCAGAGAGGTTAACTAGCTTGCCCAAAGCCACACAGCTAAGTTATGTGTCGAAGAAGGATTTGAACCCAGATCTGAACCAGTGGAAGCCTGGCCCTTTCCACTCCACCAGGTGATGTTCACGATTTGAAGACACACTCCGTGCCCGGGAAAGATGAAAGGATCAACACAATGGAAAACAAACGTGGCAGGGGTAGTGTTGTCTAGAATAGAGGAGCTCAGATTCTGGAGTAAGACCTGACTTCATATCTCAGCTGATACAAAGGAGGGAAGAAACTGTGGATCTAACTGTGGAGTCACTGTAAGGACTCAGTTACTGTGAGAAACAGTAGCTTTGAGCAATCTAGGGAAGAAAGATGGGGAAGCATAATTGATGACTACAGTATTTTTCCACGATGTTCACCCTCGCACGTGTGTGTGTGTAATTTCTTACTCAGTCCCAATGTTTGCGTTAACGCGCATCCTTCCGGAAGGCCCTTTTCTCCAGAATACGGTAGGCGGGCAAAGGACGGACCAGGAGCAAAGGCAGACGCGGGCTTTGGGGTGCGTTTGCAACCCCCCTTCACCAGCTACTTACCTCTCTTTCTCCTCCACCCCCTTCTTTGCAGGAGTTTGTTCTGCTGGCAAAGAGACTGGGGGGCGATCCGGCGTTAGAAAAACAAATCGTGGCCAACGGAAGGGAGTATGTGAGAATGTACCATTCGTGGCAGGTGGAGAGAAACACCTATGGGCACCTGGTCAGGATGCTGGAGGGAAGCAGTGAGGACTAAGGGCGTGCCTGGTGCCGTGAGATGCTCAGCCCTGGGCAGACATGCAGGGACAGGGCTCTGGGCAGAGGGGCCATCCAGTCGAAATCAAGCCGGGTTCATTGGAACCGTAGATTTATTTGTCATAAGACGATTCATCCAGAACCTCTCTGTGCTTCCAGGTAACAGCCCAGATGTGTTTCCCGATCAGTCCTCATGGAGATGCAGTACTAATTGGGGCAGGGTAACTGGTTTTAAGGGGCATCAGGGAGAGAGTTTGATTAGCTGCTTTAGGACTTCTAGGGACAGTAGGGGCTTATTTGTAAGCCGTCACAGGGAAGGGTAGGCCCCTCTCCCCTGTCTTCTGATGACCTGTAACCCATCACCGTCTGTTCAAAGAGCAAAAGCAAAAATCAGACGTGTTGGCTGAGAGGGTTACTGGCAGTGATTATAATGTGGTACAGACCCTGAAGCCAATCTGGGGCCCTGACAGATGTGCGGCTGGGCCCCCAGGCTCTGCAGGTTTCCTTCTGTAAACACTGGAAACAGTGCTGTGCATGAGTTGACCTAATCAGTCATGTAACTGAAAGAGCGGGGAGTGCTCTAAAGAAGCAGGCCAACCCCTGCGCCCCCCACAGGCTCCACCCGCCTCCTGGTTGAATTTGGGTTGAAAACCAGTTGGAACAAAGCCCATTATCGCCCATGGCCTGGAAAATACTGGAGCCTGGCTCTTGGGGTTCAGCATCAGGGACCCAGCATCAGGGGTCATCAAGGATGAGTGTCGATCTGGTCACCAGCCTCCAGCCCATCGCAGAACCGGCACTCGGGTCCCCTTGACCTTATCCATCACGAGGCGAGTTTAACCAAGTGTCGTCACTGTAGGGACATCCTGGCTGCACCGGTGCTGCATTCCCCAAACCCTGTGCTTGTTTTCCTTGGGGGCGGCACCTGCCTCTGTTGGATCCTGAAATCCCTGCTTTCTCATGTACGTTCCATGACAACAGCTGGGGGCGAAATGCTCCGTTTCTCGTGTGAGGTGAGGAAACAACCTGGTCCAGAAGGAGGAGATGAAGGTGGCTCCGAGCCCGTCAGAAGAAGCGTTTCCTTAGTGTTTGTTTCAATACCTGCAGGCCCTGGAGTGGGGAGGAGGGATCCACATCACCTTTGCCTCAGACTTCACGACATCTTGGACTCTTTTCTTTCCAACCATCCTATTTTTGTGAACGACCAAACCTATATCTTGTTTTTAAAAGAGTAAGCCTCAGACCGAACGTCTTAAACTCTAATGACTTGGGGATAAGAACAGCACGTCCCTTCCTGAGTCGTTCTGCGCCTCAATCTCAGAACAGGATCCCTTCCCAAAGGCAGTTACCTGGAACCCGAAGATGCTCCTAGCACCCAGGATTTGCTGTCCTGCTAACAATACCCCTCACAGTCCCCCCTTTTTTGGCATCTGAGGGTCACTAGGGTCGGGGCTCCCCTGTGGCCATAGCGAAGAGAGGGAGGGAGAAACAGAATCCAAACTCCAGGTGGACAGCTCCGTCTGAGTCTGGAATCAGCGATGCCAGCCTAAGGAAAGGCCGCGTGCGTGTTGTCCCGGGTACCAGCCATTGATGCTGCTGTTGATAAAATGCTGGTGGTCAGGAAGCTCCACTCTCATCCTGGTTGAATGACATGGTAGGTGCTTCGCTCCAGTGAGCCTCAGCATCGTTCATTCGTGTCTTTATAGAAACACTCACACATGCTGCATGCCCTTTGGGGAAGGGCGTGTTGGTTTTAAATGAATAAAGTGTCACCATCCGCTCTAGAGAAAGAGCCCCGGTGTGTTTCTTTTGTGAGCTTTGTCCTGCCAGAAACAGACCCTCCACAGCCTCTAGTCCCCACACTTCAAAAGAAGATACACTGGAGCATCTCATTAAGAGGGGTTTAAAGTGCAATTGCTGGGCTTCCCTGGTGGCGCAGCGGTTGAGAGTCTGCCTGCCGAGGCAGGGGACGTGGGTTCGTGCCCCGGTCCGGGAAGACCCCACATGCCGCGGAGCGGCTGGGCCCGTGAGCCATGGCCGCTGAGCCTGCGCGTCCGGAGCCTGTGCTCCGCAACGGGAGAGGCCACAACAGTGAGAGGCCCGCGTACCACAAAAAAATAAATAAATAAAATGCAATTGCTATTTTAATACCAAAGTATAGACGTAAACAAAACCCATGCTTTTCTATAAATGTTCTAGACGCTCTCAGTTTCATACTCAGTCAACTTTATGTTTAAACATTTTGTGTATAGTTTCCAATTTGCTAATGTACGTACAGGTGTGGAGGACTGCAACAATCCACTTCCAGATAGAACTAAGATACTATAACCTTCACACGTGGAGGGAAGATGCATTTCATATAGCATGGTGTCATCTAGCAAAGAGGCGGTGTTCACACCTGGCTTACAGCTTCTGCCGGAAAGACCCTCCTCACGCTTTCCCCACACTCTCACAGCGAAGTTAGATACAACAGCATCGTTTTGATCTGAAAGGTTTCCAAAAGCAGGCTCTCCGTGCACATGGGAACAGGCGGTCCAGCCTGATGCCTGGCGCAGCCAGCAGACCTAGAGTGTGCTGCTAGCTAGTCTCACCATCAGGTACGGATGGGAAGAGGGGATCGTTTGCACCCTCAGCACGCATTGTGGCTTCGCACTGTGGCTCCAAGGGTTCATCGCACTTCTGTGTCATCCTCGGTAACAATAGTTAGCACAGCTGCGTAAACTCTTGCCTTGAAGCTGCCTGGTACTTGACCTTGCAGTTCGTTTACTGCAGCCCTCATGAGATGCTGAAAGCTAGCTCTTGTCTTCTTCCTCCTTCCCTCCCTTTTTCACTTGGCTCTCCCCATGCCCCAGCCTCCCTTCCCCTTTCTGACCCAATCTCCCCCTTGGAGAGTCAGGGGACTGATGTGGAATGACACACAGGAAGTCCTCCCCACCCAGAGCCAACCCTCACCAGGGAGGCCACTTAGTAAAGCAGCAGTTCCCAGCCTCGGCTTTTAAAACTCCCGATGCTCGGGCTGCATCTCAGACCAATTACGTCAGAGTCTTGGGGTCGGAGGTACCCAGACCTAAAGCTTCCCTGATCCGACGTGCAGCCACCATGCACCGCTACTGACTGGAAACCCCCCTCTTGAATACGGACCAGAATTTCATAGAAAAGAAGGACCATCAAAGAAAAAGTTGGATTGTGACTCTGTATTCAGAAATGAATCCCAGCATTAAGAAGATAGGTTACATTGGTCTCACGTTTACTAAGATTTATTTCTGCAGGTAAAATTGAAACTCGAAGCGCAGGGCCAAGAAATACTTCACACCAACAAGTAAACAAAACCAGCCACGGGGATTTCATCAGTATTCCCCAGAGCTTCTCTTCTTCCTTTGATGTTGAAGTTTTCTTTTGCAGCGTCTGCCCTGTCATCATGCTTACTTACGGTCACTCGTTATCTGGTTCCGTCCTGTCAGAGCCTCATTTGCCTGGGTTTCAAGTAATTCTCCAAAATCCTTTTCATCAATTTCAGGGAAATCCTGCCTTTTCTGCAAGGTTTGCGATTGTTACTTTTTACTTGATTTACATTGTGTTGGCATTTAAACACTTTGAACGTGGAACAGTCATTAAGAGGGGCCAGCTGGACACTGGATGGGGGGGTATTAATTAGGATTAACACCTGGGTACGGCTGACAGAAAATCCAGAACAACGGTGGCTGAAGCAGAAGATGAATACATCTTCTTCTTCTGTCAAGTAGAGAGATTAACAAAGCACAGATGGTGTTTCCCGGGGTCAGGGACTCAGACCCCTCCATCCTCAGTATGTGGCCGTCTCTACCTCATGGTGTAAGGTGGCTGCCCAAGCTCCACCACCATGCCTGAATTCCAGACTGAAGGAAGATGCAAGGCGGGAGCAAAGATTTATTTCCTCCCTTTCAGGACAATTCCTGTTTCTGAGTACATACCATGCCCACACCCAGTTGCAAGGGAAGCTTAGACTGCAGGCTTTTCTCTCAGCAGCCATGTGCCTAGTTAAAAACACAAGGGTCTATTAATAAAAGAGAAGGGGACGAAAGACCAAAGCAGACCATCCTAGAGCTATGGGACAGTTTCAAAAAGTGTAGTATGCATAATGAGAACACCAGAAGGAAAAGAAAGAGAAGGAAGCAGAAGAAATATTTGAAAACAGTAATGACTTGGGAGTTCTCAAGATCAATGTCAGACACCAAACCACAGATTCAGGAAACTCAGAGATCACCAAGCAGGGTAAATGCCAGAAAAATATACACCTAGGGTTATCATATTCAAACTACAGAAGGTCAACGATAAAGAAAATTCCTGAAAGAAGTCAGAGGTAACAAAACCCACTTCACTTAAAGAGGAAAAAGTATAAGGATTATATCTGACTTCTGTTATGGAACCATGCAGACAAGATGAGGTTGGAGTGAAATATTTAAAGTATTAAAAAAAAAAAAGAAAAGAGAGAGAGAAGGGGAGAATGCCTGTTTGGAACAGCTTGCAGTCAGTAGCCACTGTGAAAAACTGGTTTTAGATTCTGTAGTCGTTACAGCCATTCTACCTTTTACTAATCACTGAAAACCTTTTAATGCCAAGAAAAGTGCCTTCCACAAGGTTTTCATTAAGCCCTGAAGGCCATCCCAACACAGCCCACCTCTTTCTCCCCAAGATCCCATTTGTATACAAGCCCTCAGCCAGGGCCATGTATCCATTTTTACCCCAACCCCTGCAGCTCCTCAATTAAAAATTCAAGAGTCTAAGAGTACACAGGCTCCCATCTAAATCTCCTACAATGTTTCTCTGTGTTAGGCGAAACACAGCCCTGGAATACACGATAAAATGAAGTGTACTGACTCCATCCACATAATTCTGGTCTTTGCACCGGGTGTTATTCTGGTTACCCTGAATGAGTAAGCACAGCACTGCTCGTGTCAGAAGGTCTTGGGAAATACTGTAGAAATCGTTTCTGAAATGATCCATGAGCCAGAGTTTGACTGAAACAAAGCAAGAATTTGCATTGAAAAACAAGATGTTGGGACTTCCCTGGCGGTCCGGTGGTTAGGACTCTGCGCTTTCACTGCTGTGGCCCGCGTTCCAGCTCTGGCTGGGAACTAAGATCCTGCATGCCGCGTGGTGCAGCCAAATAAATAAATAAATACATTTTAATTTATAAAAATAAATGTATATATATTAAAAACACACACACACAAGATGTCATGAAGTTGCAACATGCATAGTGTTTCGGTTCAGTGTTTAGAACAAAAATTTTCCATGGTCAAAATTATCTGCAAAGACTCCCCACAAGTCTGGCATATTCGGTTGTGTATTTACAGCCCTGCCCATTAAGTCACAGGCACAGGCAAGTGTTAGAACCAGGGAGGGAGGTTGAAGAACGTCACCCTCTGAATGTCTAGTTATGAGACGGTTCTCATTTTATATAGAGAACTGAATCCCTAGAAGCACTCCCTGTTTCCCAGTGGGGTTTGTTCCATTCCCTTTTCATGTTATCCATCTAACCATTCATCCATTCATTCAGCCAGTATTTCTTTTTTTTTCCCCATTGAAGCATAGTTGATGTACAATATTATATAAGTTATAGGTGTACAGTAGAGTGATTCACAATTTTTAAAGGTTATCCTCCACTTATAGTTATTATAAAATATTGCCTATATTCCCTGTGCTGCACAATATATCCTCGTAGCTTATCTCATACCTAGTAGTTTGCACCTCTTCATCTCCTACCCCTATATTGCCCCTCCCCCTTCCCTCTCCCCACTGGTACCCACTAGTTTGTTCTCTTTATCTGTGAGTCTGCTTCTTTTTGTTACATGCACTAGGTTGTTGTATTTTTTAGAGTCCACATATAAGTGATATCGTACAGTATTTGTCTTTGTGTGACTTATTTCACTTAACATAATGCCCTCCAAGTCCATCCATGTAGCTGCAAATGACAAAATTTCATCCTTTCTTACGGCTGAGTAGTATTCCGTCGTATACACGTACCACATCTTCTTTATCCATTCATCTGTGGGTGGTCACTCAGGTTGCTTCCATGGCTTTCGCCAGTATTTCTTGCAGTAGTTGAGGCAGGCACTGCTCCCTGGTGTAGACACAGCAGTGAACACTCTTTGCCCTCCTGGGGGGTTTCTTCCTAGTGGGCTTAACTGTTCCCACGGACATGGATGGATGCCTGCTACAAGCAGTCAGCGAGCGTGGAGCCAACCCTCAGGAAGGGGTCAGGATCAAAAGTCAGTGAGAACATGACCCACAGGGCAGTGACACCCCACAAGTTGGAATGAAAACAGCATCCAAGGCGCTACAGCTAATTTCTAAGAGAATTTTATTAGACTCTAAAGGAACTTCTGGTAAAAAAATGAATACAAAAAAGGTGTGTGTGTGGCGGGGGGAATTTTAAAAATTAACTTCATCTTTATCTGTGGCCACAGTCTATTTTAAAGAGATTATTTTACAATGTACTTCTTTCTTCAAACTCATTAATAGTCCTTGAAAATCCAGGCTGAGAGAAGTATCTTCCCCCCAAATTACACAATTCTGCTAAGTTACAAAAGAAAAACAAAAAAATTAACATCATGATACCTTTCTCGGTAGAAGCCCTTGAACTCATTCTGCCATCTTCAGAAAGCCTCAGCTGTAAGGAGAGTCATGCTTCAAAGTGGAGTTTCTTCTTTAGCATCTAATATAAAAATATGTTAAGTATTTCCCCCAAATCAGAAAGGTGAATAACCAGACATTTGCAAGAAGCCAGAGAGTGAGGCACAAAGCAATAGTAGGAGACTAGCTTTCTGACTTGGTATTTGGTGCAAATTCCTCCATTTTAGAAATAGTTGGAAAAACAGCTCACAGAGTCTAAAGATCTGCTAGATTTCCGCTTGCTAAGATGGGTTTCCTCTCTGTTACCGAGTCTAACCTCATACCGCTCGCTGTACAACGGGTCAATAAATCAAGAGAGGA